TTCCGGAAAAAGCACGTCTACATTGGCAGGATGCTTTTCCAGAAAAGCACTTTTTCCGGAAAAGCGTCCGTGCCAATGTAGACGCGCTTTTCCGGAAAAAAGCCCAGATCGTCATTTTCACGATCGGGGCTTTTTTGTGGAAAACACTACTGTGCTGTCTACATTGGCCCTTTTCCGGAACAGTTTTCTGGAAAAAGGACTTTTGCCCGAACGGGAGCAGCATAATATTTCCGGAAAAGCGGCTGATTTCTTACAGTAGATCGTCAGTGCTTTTCCGGAAATTCAAGGGGGCAGTGTAGACAGCTGGCAAGTTATTCCGGAAAAGCGGCTGATTTTCCGGAATAAGTGGCCAGTGTAGACACAGCCGAGGAGTTAAAAGCTCTCTTCATGCAACGTATGTTCCAAATTTGTACAAGATTCAACCCTTTTAATAATATTGTAAATCTGAGCACAAGGAGCAAGTTTAGCCAAATTCACTAAATTAGTAAATAGGAGGGGAAGATGCACGGGGTAAGTGTGCCACGCTCCAACTGTTGTGATCTCGAGAGCTGCTCTCCTACACCTGTTAAGGAGATGCGCTGGAATGAGAGAGGTCTCCTTGTACCAGACATGGCTACTCTTGCTTGCTTTACTTATATTCAGAGCAAAAAGGTTTGGACCAGGTCAGGGACCGATTAATTAATTCGTCAGGGGGCATGTGCACTAGAATTCAGATCGCTCACCGGGCGTGTTGCCAACGGTGGAGCCAGGCCGCCAATGCACATAGGTTTGTCCAACCCTGCTTGGAGACTTGTCTACGCTGCAGCTTCCGTGACTGGAATGGTGCCCGGGCGTGTTGCCAACGGTGGAGCCAGGCCGCCAATGCACATAGGTTTGTCCAACCCTGCTTGGAGACTTGTCTACGCTGCAGCTTCCGTGACTGGAATGGTGCACGGGGTGAACCCTGAAAGTGCCGCGCCTGGGTTAGGCATTGCAGTCCATCGCCATGGCGGCAAATCTCCCGTTTTGTTCCAACCCGCCAGGGCGGCCCAAAGGCCTGTGAGATTTCCAAAGCACGTGCACGGCGCTGCCCTTTACCCTCTCACGGCATCCACGGTGATTGCACGAGGATTCACAAGGTCTGCGTCAAACAGAACCCGGCGCTCAGACCCGTCCAATCTTGCACGCTCAATTTTGTCCAAAACATGGTTCTGTGGATGTGGTCGACAGCGAGTCCTTCGGGACTCATCAGGCCTGGAGGGAGGCGCAGAGAAGAGCACGGTCAGGGGAGTAGCGCACGTTGACACTTGGCATTTGTGTAGCACCATCAATTGTATAGCATGCAATTAATCAGCCCGCTACCCCTGTTGTTCCAGCTTGCTTGGTAATTATAACCCACCACCTCCCTCACTGTTCCCTGTAAACTGAGCACTTGGGCTACCACCCAGGAGAGAGTCCAAAGCTGCCCAGCTGATTAGCAGAGCGCCCACAGCCGGCAGCATGTGTTTCTATGGTGGTGCACATCCAGCCATGCCTGGGTGCACATAATAAAATTTATTCCACACATCAATGGAAAAAAGAGGGAATGTTGACCCACCCCACCTTCTGCCCCTCCCAATTGGCCATAAATTGTGATGCCTAACGGAGAAAGCCAGGCAGATGGGGGCTTGCCAAAAGTTAGGGAGAGTGACCAAGCCAAAAGCTGGGATTAGCGCTCAAAAATTCTTCATGCCCAGCTCTGCTGCCTCTCTGCCAGGTGGAGAGCAGCTTCAACGCCTGTTCAGGCCTGTATTCAAGCCGGCCACACGAACACTCAAGGAAATGACGATTCACCTGAGTTAATAAGGGTTTCGGGTTCAGCCCCTGGTTCTAGCCTTGCTCGGTTAACTGTCCGACCAGCCACGTCCGTCCAATAGACCATTTTTTCTCGACAGTCGTAATCTAGTCCAACCACGATGGAACCCTGCAGGGGTTTCAAAATATGTGGATTTACTCATTCGCCTCCACAGCACAGGCGCTCGTGTGGCTACAGCTGGCGGAGCCAGAGCCGAGTCAGACAATCCTGCATGGCTGGCTTTGTGTTCGACCCTGGTTTGAAGTTTGTCACTTAGTTCTACATAAGAGCGGCCAGATTGGGTCAGACCAAAGGTCCCTGTAGCCCAGTGTCCTGTCTGCCCCCAGTGGCCAATGCCAGGTGCCCCAGAGGGAGGGAACAGAACAGGGAATTGTCACGCGATCCCTCCCCTGTCATCCATTTCCAGACACACAGAGGCTAGGGACACCATTCCTACCCATCCTGGCTAATAGCCATTGATGGGCGTAACCTCCATGAGTTTATCCAGCTCTTTTCTGAACCCTGTTCAAGTCCTACATCCTCTGGCAAGGAGTTCCACAGGTTGACTGTGCGCTGAGTGAAGAAAAACTTCCTTTTGTTTGTTTGAAACCTGCTGCCTATTCATTTCATTTGGTGACCCCTAGTTCTTATATTGTAGGAATAAGTAAATAACTTTTCCTTACTCACTTTTCCCACCCCAGTCATGATTGTATAAACCTCTATCCTATCCCGCTAGTCTCCTCTTAATCTCTCTTTCTATGGGAGAGATTCTGCTGCAGGGGTGCGCAATCATTTTAGAAGGGGGGGCACTTCACACATTTTTTAAATGGGCCTGGGTTGCCCCGGAAGGGGCGGGGCCTCGGGCAGAAGGGGCGGGACCAGGACACTTCCATGCTTCCCCATCCACAGACCCTGACTGGCCTGGGCCATGTGAAGTCTTTGCCTCCTGCTCCCTGGTGCCTAAGGGTCCCTCTAGGCACCACACGCCCCTGGCAGGGCGGGAGGAGACTTTGTACACTCCCCCCCCAGGTCAAAATCAGGGCCTGGGGGGCATGGGAGCGTGCAAAGTCTCTTGCCCCCTACCCCCGCCCTGCGAGGGGCATGCGGCGCCTAGAGAGAACCACCAGCCGTCGGGGGGAGAAGACTTTGTGCAATCCCCCATCTCCAGGTCTTTACTGGCCTGGGGGAGGAGGGGGGGGGGTAGCGGCAGGCTGGATCCAGCCCGCGGAGGCTCTCTTGTCTCCCCCATTCTACTGGGTACAATTTTGGTTAAAAGGGTCAGCTTTTCTGCATGTAGGATTAAGCTTATAGGACAGCAACATTCAAACGGGTGGCTGTATTTTAATTCGGTCCAATAGGGCAAATTCTCCACTGCTCTCAGTAGCTGCAGTTCTAACATCAGCTGCTTTTCAGCCATTTACCCCAGCAGACAATTGAAACCGATCTCTTAGTCTTATTTTTGTGCGGGACAAGTCTCAAGCTGCAAGAATGCAGCTGCACTTCCTTCTATTCTGCCACGGGCGTGGTTACTGTCCAGCGCTTGCCTGTTAGTTGCACGGCCTAAGAGTCTGTACTCTCGGGGAATTCTTAAGACAGATGTCCAAGGTATACGTCCATCGCCCGCTGGGCTTTTAAAAAAACCTCGGGGATCAGGAAGAGACTTGTACAAGGATTGTAGCCAACACATAACGTCCTTCCAGCTCTCAGGAGGGAATAGTCCACAATTTCTAAGCAAATTCCTTCCTCCCGCATCTAGATTTGATGGTCTTGCCACGATTCTTAGTTTCTCTCGGCCTGTTTGGCCCCTTTTGAGACGTGTGTAAGTGGTTTGTCTCTGGTGGGGGGTGAGAAAAGACGGAGAATGAGCCCTGGAAAGATTTAAATGCTTTCTCAATGCAGTATCCGAAGGCAAAGCTCGACTGGACGTTACCCTCTACTCTCAACTACACAAATGATTCCCTCTCCTCCTTTTGCAAAGCAATGATGTGGAGCAGGTCTTACAAACCAGACTGGGGCAGAGGAGTGCCAACACGCAGCTCAGGCCCGTTGAGAGGCGGGAGCAGGGGGCTTTCCACGCGGCTGGGGAAGAGGGGCTGTGGTTTGTACCATCGGGATAACCGATCCTCTTTGCCCCGTTTTCTGGTGGCAGCAGCACAGGGTCAGGTTTCGTTTGGTCAGCTGGAGAACGAGCAGCTGACAAAAACGAAAACACCCTGGTACACAAGCCACGCCCACCTGGGGAGGCGCTTTGTCTCCCTCTAGTGGCGGCCGTGTCACATCAAGGTTAACGGGTCTACTAAAGTCTTGTCCACAAGAGCGCGGGAGCCATGTCTGGTTGGGGTAATTCTCTGCCTCCTGGGGTGGGGGCTAAGTTGCCTCGCGATTGGTTAGTCTGCTATAGCGTTGGTTTAGAGCTGGAGCTTCGTCGGTCGATCCTCAACGCCCCCTCTCCCCGGGGTGCTAGTGGTACCTACCTACAGCTGTATACTACTTAGACTGAGCTTACGTCCCAGGGCAAAGATTCGGTCAAGACTTCTTAGCCCGTAAGCGGCTAGACTCAACGCATTCGGCAGATACTTTACATGCAGCGAGAGCAGGGTCTTCGCCATCTCCTTGTGAAGCCTCGTGCCGTTCAGCGGCAAGGAGCCGATTTGCTGCCCCTGGGCATACAGCAGGTAGGTGCCTGCGGCGGGCGGGGTCACGTCAGGACGTGGAGTGGGCTGGACGGTGGGAGGAGCAAGGCTGGGGAGACCTGTCAGTCAAACACACCGATTACAGGCCGGTCCTCGCGCCGAGAGACTTTCCAGAGCCACTGACCTCTCAGAGGGGGAGCTGAGTGGTTCCAACTAGCAGATTTCTGCCTGGAAACCAGCCGGGCCGGGCGGGATGAGGGACGGGGGGGCATTAAATGCTTTTGCCCTTCACGCCACCACCATACTGTGGTCACAACTTTGACGGGAGTTTCCCACCCAGCGCTAGGACGACGTGGGCAGGTGCAGGCACATGCACAGGGACGGGGGGGCAGTATCATGTATTGGGCCAGCTTCTCTCGTGGAGGGCGACAGGCTTTCGAGCGCTTCACACGCTCTGGAAATCTACCACGCCGGGATCTGCGCGAGGGAGGCCTGCAGGGCTGGATTCACTCTTCTGGGGGGCCCGGGCTTGCAGGCTGCAGGGTGGCACCCAAATGAGGGGTTCAGCGTGCGGGAGGGGGCCGCCAGGGCTGGGTGAGGGTGGGGGGGCTGGGCAGGAACAGGGCGCTCACCCAGCATGGCTCACCGAGACGTGGGGGGGGAGACACGGCTCTGGGCTCGCAGGCACCGCCTCCTGCTGCTCCCATTGGCCACCATTCCAGCCACTGGAGTGAGGGGGCGGAGCCTGCAGCCAAGCGCCACTAGTGGCAGCCCACACAGCTCCGGGGGGGGCGGTGGGAGCGGGACCCCCCAGCCAGGCAGAGCTGCAGCACACAGGGGCTTTGGGGGCTGCAGCCTCTTTCATTCCAACTCAGCATCTGATGAGCGACGTCAGGTCCTGATCCCGCAGCTGGAGCCGCACAGACACCTGCGCCCCTTTGCAGAATCAGGCCCCTAGTTAGTTCTCTCCCGGATCCGCGCCTGGGCTGGAGGGAGCCCCCGGGCGTTCCCTGTCAGCAGAGGGGCGGTTCTCTCCCCCCCACACACAGGCCCTGGGCCCCTCCCCACTGTGTACTCACACGGAGGCGGGTCGCCCGGCTCCGACCGGGTGCCTT